TTAGGGGAAAAGCTTTTTGTTGAGATTTTTGTTAAAGCATCCACATCCCTTCTTTCAGAAAGCATTGCAAAATGTCTGTAACACCCTGGCTGGGCTTGTGGTGGGGCTTCTCTGACTTTGTCTGCTCTCTGCTTTGTTTCCATTTAGTCCAAAAAATTGGCCTAAATTGGAGGTTTGAGCCCAAGGAGGAGATGCCTTAAAACTCAAAGCTTTGTGCTGCAGCCTGTGGTGTCTGTGGCACGAAACCTTTGCTGTGGGGAATACGGAGATGGAGTGTTTGATTCAGCTCTGGCAGTGTGTGTGTGTGTGGATGTAGAAATGGTCAGTGAATATTTTGGGAAGCCAAGAGTCTGGCTGTGCTTGGCCAGGAGCCATCGAGTAATTTTTTGCAGGTTCTAGTGAATATGAATGTATTGACATTTAATACTTCAGGAATTGTTATGTAATATCCCCTTTTTGCTAATACTGAAGCAAAGAGTCCAATGCAAAAAATGAGAATATCCTGATGATGAAAGATTACRTTGATGTGAAAATAAAAATAATTACATTTTACACTATCATCTTCACATCCACGTTTCTTAGCTGTTTAAAATTCTTAATATCTGCTTAGGAGATGCTTTGAGAAGAAAGTTGCATGGAAAGAATTTCTCAGCAGTGGTGCTTGGCCTTAGCAAGGCTTGTCTAAGGGAAACATCTCTGTATTTTGTCTCTGCTTGGGGTTATCCATGATGCAATTTAAACTAATAGTTGTGTCCTAACAGTTAGTTTTCACTTTTAAGATTAACATAATAACAAAAACTGTTAAAAAAACCAAARTCTTTTTAGAAGAAAAGCTCGGACTAGCTTAATAGATTCTCCAGTCTGGAGGAGCTTTGTTTTACAGCACRCATTCATTTGGCTTTATTCATCATACAGATGTGGAAAAAAATGCTATGAAGATGTATTACAACCCATGAATTTAATACATGTGTTTGCATTTAGGAGCTCTGCTCTGTACCCCACCTTACCTGGGCACAGTGGACTTCATGGATTTTGTGTGAGAGTGTATTTGTATTTGTATTTCATGTATTTATGAGCACAAATGCACATTTGACACGTTGCTGTCCTTGAAACCATAATCCTCTGGCTAAAATTTGAGTGATATCGACTCAAAATACATCAGGGRTATTGTGTTTTCTGGGTAATTTTTAGACAGCCAGGTGGATTAAAAAAAAGGGAGAACAATGCCTTTTAAGCAAATGTGAGAAGGAAATGTTGATTTAACTTTTCTCTGTTTTGGCCCTGAGTTTGAAATATTGATGTCTGCATGCTAATTTTTAACCCAGTCAAACTGTTTTGCAGAACAAATGCTCTGTAATGAAAAATACCTATTAAACCACATACAGGGAGAGGCACTGTCAGATCATTCTGAAAAGATCAGTGCACAAAGATTCTTTAGAAATTTCCTCAGTGCCAGCTGGGAAACTGATTCCTCAATAAAAAATTGGGAAAAAAAAGGCTTTAAAGCTTTAACAGACCTGTAGACAAGTCAAGTGAAGTTTTTAGAAAGTGCAGCAGTGGTTCCCAGTCAGTTCTGTGTTTGGAATATGAGATAGATGGAATTTTGGCCACTCAGGATTTSTTGGATGTGCAGATGGAGTGTGCAGCTGGAGTTGTTGTGGTGCCTCTTCTGTGATAACCTGAAAAGGAGTGAGGTTAAAACAAAACCAAGTCTGGCTGTCTCATGGATGAAGATACATTTTGAGAAGGTATTTCAGTCAGGAATATTTGCATTGCTTTTTTCAGGCTTTATTGGAGCATCACCCGATCACCTGAACAGAAAAAGAAACCCAAAAACCCAACCCCAACAAACAAAAACAAACCCAAAAACCCAACCCCAACAAACACAAACCCAACCCCAACAAACAGAAACAAACCCAATAAAAACCCAAACCCCAACAAAGCAAACAAACAAAAACCCAAGCCCAACAAACACAAACCCAAACAAATACTCCAAACCCCTGCAAACACCTCAAAACAATGTCATCATAGTGAGAATTCATTTTGTAACTATTCACTAAATTCTCTATTGCTCTGTTGGAACATTATCAAAGGAAAAATTGATTTTGCTGGCAGTAAGTAAAAAGTACTTCTGGGAAGGAGGTGAAATCTAAGATGAAATATGGAAGTATGCAAAGAAATACTTGATCCTTAYATACTGAATTTGTCTAAAAGTAGCTCTTCCTTTTGCTGCAATTTTTTGAGGTGTTTTACCTAATTCTTGCTGTTGCAGTCATGATTTAAAAGCACACATGCAATGTTCCCATTCCTATTGTGAGCGCTCGTTTTGCCTTCCTGTCCTGAAGTACAGGACTAAAATGTTATAAAATTTATTCATGTTTGTGTTCTCTAAGACAAGAGAGTCAACACAGAACCTGGCTGTACACAAACCAGCCAGGAGTCAGTTCTAAATCAGAAACAAGTTAACATATTAAAAGGGAAAGGATAGAAACTCCGGGCTACTCTGTTAGAGTAATCAGTGTCTTTTTGGCAACTTGCACATTTTCCCTTTCCAAGATCTTTGCCAGAACCTAGAAAGATCTCTCTTCTGG